AAAGTGGCCGTGAAATATGTCCGTTTTCTGTGAGCACTAAGTGGCCTTTGAAAGAATTTAATGGGGTTTTAAGTTGCCTTTATGTGAAGTGAAGATAGAACAACTCACTCTCGTCGTCCTTACTTTGTAATAAGCATTTAAAATGTGACCAGAAAGGAAATGTGCAACCTCTAGCTCTCTCCCTTGCCGGCTGAAGCTCAGGCTTTCTCTGGTTTAGGTGTGAAGCAGATAAGCGTCCCTGTCAAGTGCTGAACTACTACAATGGCTGTGAAAACCTCCTTTTTGTCTTTTTCTGTTCGCAGTCAAACTGCAGCTTCAAGCGGAAGAAAGAGGAGTGGTGTCTATCAAAGGTGTAAGTGCAAATCGCTTCCTGGCTATGAAGGAGGACGGCAGATTGCTGGCCTTGGTAAGCAGCTTCGCTCAGGTTTCTGTCCGCGTTGGTGGCTCCTGCTCTCGCTCTCCTCCCGCACCACTTGCTCAGCTTCTTTGTGTGGGACTTACCCGCGAGAAATTCGCTCTGCAGTTTTTGTCAGTTAACCGAGCTGTGAACTCGGAAGAGGTGGGTATGTCTGCCCTACCTAGAAGCTGCAAAATTTTAACCAGAATGGCTTGTCAGAGAGAAGAAAATCATAGTGACTACATAGAGAAGGAAATTGTAAAAACAAATGAAGAATAAAGTGTTTGCCTTTTTAGCCCCAGGAGTAATTTTTTTTCCTCTTTCACTTACTTTCTCAAAAAGTGATTTTTAAAGACTCTTTTATAGTAGAAAATAAAGCCAATTAAGAAAATTATAGTAATCTATATATATATATTCTCATTTTCCTCTTTGCAGAGAATCAGGTTTTTTGGGCACAAATACTAACTAGAGAACTGGCAAAGAAAACATTCTTGCAAACGTGATGGTAAAATTTTAAGAAGTTATATAAATGTAGGTAAATTAAACTGCTCTCTAGTGAGACTAGTTCTGGTTTAAACTCTTGTGCACTTTATTGGTACCAGCTGAATTTTTAACTGTGTTTTAAAGCGAGTGTGTGTAGCAGCCGCTGAAAGTTAGTAAAGCCTCCCAGAGACACACGATAACTCTGCTTTAAGAGCTGCAGTTACATTCATTGTGCTCATGAGACGCAGACACAGTAAATCTCTCATCCATATTTATAACCTCCAGGGCAGGCAAACCTCCAGCACTGGTGAGGCACCACTGCAGGGCATCCATCCTGCTAGGACTGAGGCTTGCCATAATCCCTGGTGCTTTGGTGTCCTGAGCACAGCCCCATGTGCAGCCTCTGTGCAAGTCCCCACCAGTGACTGGTGGTAGTGCCATGCGTTCCTCGCCCCGGCTGAACTGCAGCTGCACAGGCCTGTGCCAAGGGCTGCAGAATTTCTGGTTCCCCTCCTCTGCCTGTGCCTTGGTGGAAGAAGTCTGGAGGCAAACCCAATGCCTCAGCAGCATGAGCAGAGCTCCCCGGGAACGCTCCAGGGAGCCCATTTTGTGTATGCCTGTGAGTGCAGCTACAGAACCTGTTCCAAGTTCTTCAGATACTGTGTGACAGCTCAGTTGAAGAAAATGTGAGTTGTCCATTGTGCTATTCTTGAATGAAGGGTAATTGGGAATTTCCTGTGGTGCTGGAGCGGTGGCACTCAGTTTCCTGCTCCAATCACACTTCTTGCCCTGAGCCACAGCGAGTGGTCAGAGTGTTTAGCACCATTTGCAAAATTATAAACACGTGGGTGTGTTTATATTTGGGATTCCTGACCTGCTGTTGCACGGTGGGTTTGGTTGTAGAACATACTTCCGTTGCAGCAGTTTTAGCTGCTCAGTTCTTCTGAGGTGAAAAGTATCCTCCATTCACTTGGAATTCCTCTCGCAAAATGAGTTTATGAAATATTTGTGATGTTTCTGGAAATAGGCATTACTTGAATCTTGTTTGTTGCAAGCATTACTTCTTGTTGCTCATAGGTGGAAGCTCTCTACTCTCTTAATACTTTGTTCCTCAACCAGCCTAACAAATGCAGCTGCCATTTCATTTTCTCTAGCAGCGGCAATGTTTTTTCCATGAGGATTTCTGTATGATGACTCCCAACAGTCTATGGCTGGTTGTGCCTTTACTGTTTTGTGCCTCCAAACACGTCCATGGGCTGTTTCTCACTGCCAGTGGTTCCTGTTCCGTTGGAGAAGGGTTGTGATTCAGCCAGAGCTTGCATAGAGCACATGCTGGAAATGTTTGCGGTGCAGCGATCTCGGCAGGGCACATGATGAAACGCTGCTGAAGCCTTTGGCTGTTTCTTTTAAAGCATTATGGAACTTTAATTTCTAAACACTTCATTTAGTTCTCTAATCCACCAGTCCCTCGAGTACTATTTCTTCTAATGTCTGTTTTGTTGTTTTTAATCGCTTTTCAGTGTCAAGGATCAATTTGCATAGCGTCCTGGTTTTGTAGCTATATCAACACATCCAAGAATAATTTTGCCATGATTATTCAGGCCTGTTTGTCATCTTGTTGGATGTTTTTGTCATGACTTTGTTGAGACACGTCCTTAGGGCTTGTTCTGTGCTGGGTTTTGCAGAACAACTTGCGGCACAGCGCGCGTTGCAGCTCACCCTGGCGCTGTGCGTGCAGCGATCGCGCTCTGTCCGCAGAGCTGCGTGTTGGGGCTTTGAATCGAGCAGTTTCATGCTCTGTACGGACAGACTCGGCTGTGGGGGTGAGGTGATCTCCACCAGTTGGGTCCCTGCAGGAAATGGCTGGTTATTAATGCAGCTAGTCAAAACCTCCCCGTAGAAAATGCTGTTTTCACTGAAAATATTTGTGCAGAAATGTACCTATTCCATCAGATTTTTACTGGAAACATTGAAACATTTATGGCTTATTTTGATTTTCCAGTTTCATTTAAGAATGAATTATTTTCACTTTATGGAATGAAATGCAAGTATTTAATTTAATGAAGAAATTTCCCATGAAAGGAAGAATTCACTTTTGACTAACTTGTATTTCAGGATAAGTAATTTGTCATTCTGTGATACAAATGTTCTCTCTCATGCTTATGTGGTTTCGCTACAATCAACCAGGTTTTGTTGGACTTCAGGGATTTGACTTGCAGGGAAATTCTTGTCTTTTGATGTTACCACTTAAAATTGTGCTACAGGAATGTTTGTGAGAATGACCTGCATTCTTGGCCCTTCTGTAGTTAGGAGAGGCTGAATATGATCATCACCTTTCTCTGCATCCACTGTGGTAGTTACAGGTTAACCCTCCGGCTTCAGTTTTGAGAATGAACAAACTTGAGGACTTAATTCCTAACCCAAGTCCAGAATGTCAGAGCTGGTTATTGGCACAGTGTGACACTAAGGCAGATGTGGTATGCACTGAGGAATCAGTCAGTGGGTGATGTTTGACTGTGCAAATAAGTGAAGAACAGCCTTGTGGCAGGAAGTTCCTACCCCTCTTTCAGGCAATTAATCTGCCCTGGGAGAATCAACTTGATGATTTCAGGATTGCTCGTGTTAAAAATTCCTGCACTCAGCATTTTATTGAGTCACTCAAACTTCTGGATCGAGAGCTTGCCTGGCAGCAGACAAAATAGTGTCTGGTGGCAGGGCAGGCACCAAGGGGCACTGGTTTCCTACCACTGCCCCGGGGGTTTTCCCTTCCTGTCTCCTTTTCCTGAAGGGCTGCAGAGGTGTTTCACGAGGTGCTGCGGAAGCCTTCGCTGCCAGATCAGCACTTTGCAGCCTAGACCAACACGTGTTTGACAAACCCCTTGATATCCAGGGGTTTTCTGGGGCTGAGGGTCACAGTGTGGCAGCTGGCATTCCGCCCCTGCTGGGCAGCAGTCCGGCTTAGAAACGTCGCCTTTGGCACGTGTTAAGGAATACACAATTCATGAAGTCTAATTCCCATCTGTCACCTAAATGTTGGCTTCTGTGTCAAAATATTTACACTGGCAACATCCTGTAGGAAAGCACTGGAGTCACTTATGCTTTGTGGAGAAATAAGGACTTTCTACGCTTCTTGGAGGGTGAACTTCTCTGGATATATTAATGAACATTAACAGAGGATGGTAACGAATGTAGCCTCCTCCTTTAGGGAACTGGTTCTCGTTCCTTGTCTGCTGCCCAATATTTTCCATGCTTGCTTTTTAATGATGAGCTTTTCTCTTCCTCTGGCATTCCCAAACATTTTCTGGGTAAATGAGTATGACTGACTGGATGGCCTGACAGATGATGTATACGAAAATCAAGTGTGTGTGCACCCTGCCCCCCACATCCCATGATAACTCAGTTGGGAAACATTTCATGTCCATTTCTTAACACCAAAGGTGCTGCTAACTCACGTTCTTGCTAAGCTAATCCCCTGAATCTGAAGAAGTGATTTGTGATGCTATACCAATTATCCTTTCCTTCCCTTTTAGAAATACGCAACAGAAGAATGTTTCTTTTTTGAGCGTTTGGAATCTAATAACTATAACACTTACCGGTCACGGAAATACTCCGATTGGTATGTGGCACTGAAAAGAACTGGACAGTACAAACCTGGACCAAAAACTGGACCTGGACAGAAAGCTATCCTTTTCCTTCCCATGTCTGCTAAAAGCTGATTTCCACGGCAGATTCCGAGCACTTATGTCACATGACACTAAAGACGTCGACTTTCCTCCTCCTCTCCAAAGTAGTAAAATATAAGCGATTACTTGCTGCTTTTAACTACTTTAGCTGATACCAGATTAAAACATGAATGTTTCATACTGTCTTTGTATTGCTCTGTAGACCTATTGCGCCAGTGTGTGTGGAGGTGAAATGACTTGGCAAATGTATTTTCAGGATCAGTAACACTTCTGTTTTCTGCTAGGTATCTATGCAGAGCTATTTTATTTACCTTATGCTTGCTTGACAGAGTAAAGAAAAACAAATCTGATGCACACTTATAGGAGTATTTACCTTGGAAATAATTTATCTCTTAGCTTATTAGAGAAAAAAGAATTACTTTCTAATAATTACCTAAAAGAAGTCCATGGATAATTTTAATATGCAGCACTGCAATAATAATTGTAAATTATTACTGTAATGAAATGTGAAATGCATTGCTATCCTGTCACATGTCTGTAGGACTCCGGCAGCTCCCTGTGGTAGAGTTTGTAGAACAGGCCTGTGTAGACAGCTGGAAACTCCCTCATGGTTATGTCAATCTTATCAAACCCTTCCCTGTATCCATACAGTAAGAGCTTAGCTACGTTGCTGGTGATGGGAGTGGCGTTTTTCGTCCTAGTGAGCTCCTCCAGGTCCATCCACTCGCACCTGAGGCACTCCTGCTGGCAGAAGTTGATGCTGAAGGAGGAGGGTTCCAGGCGACAGATGATGTACATATCTGACTTCCCGAAGGCTCCAGGGTGTTGGTGTTGCTGCCTGATGCTTAGGATGGACTTGAACTCTGACTTGATGCCAGTCTCCTCAAAAACCTCTCGAACTGCTGTGTCTCCTAGGTGGAAAGAGCAATGCTTACAATACATACAAGAGTAACTTAACACTCTTGAAACCTTTGGATCATGGACAACCTCTAACTCAAAGTGCTCTCTGTTCTGCTTCATTGGGTTTTCAGAATGTCTGTTTGTCCAACACAAGGATAAGCTAATTCTTTGGTCCCTGGACAAAACTAATTGCTCTGTGCCGTTCTTGTGTATGTCCTACAGAATTATTCCTTTGGATAATGCTGTACAGGGGGTGGTTTGGAACAGACACTGATGGCTGCTGGCTCCACTGATCTCTTAATCCGAGGCAGCACTGCACCCTCCATGCAGTCCTTTGAATCCAAGTCCCCCTCCTCTCCTTGCCTCTGTGTGCTCTCGGGTTCAGACTCTGTGCAGCTGAACACCTGTACCTAGGTCAGATCACTTGATCCAATCGGTTTTGCTGCACTTTGCCCCAAGGAGTAACAAAATGGGTAAAACTATTGTTTGAAGAAAGTTGGTGCCAAGCCCTTTTCAAGGTGTATCTTGAGTGTCTAGTGACATTTCAAATGTGCCACTCCCCCAGTGCAGCACGGAGCCTGTTCCTGCAGCAAACATGCTGCATCTGTGCTGTACCTGTGCATTTGGTGTGCTCCTCCAAAAAAAAGATTTTTCTCTCAAATAACAACTTAAATTGAAGAGGCCAAATGAGATTTTTTTAATATTCCACTCATTTTGCCACAGTCTGCAGCTCCATTGTAGTCAAGTCAAATCCACTTTGCCTGGGCTGACTCCTGGTAGGTAAAATACTTTTTTTTTCCAAATGAATGTAACCTCCTGGTGGTGTGCTGTTTGAGTGGTGATGGTGTAGAGCTGTTTTGCCATGTTGCCTGGTTCTGTTAGTCCATTCTCAGCAAGCAGTCAGTGTGCTGGCTTGCTTCCAACAGCACAGCACTTGTAAAAGACCTTGTAAAGATCTGCCTTCCTGTGGAAGCTTGTGTCTTGGGATGTCAGAGGGGAACAAGGCAGACAATTCAGGGGTAGTTTCAGATATTGGATGTAATTCAGATTTACAGTGGCTTACAATATATAACCAAAATGATTAATCCAGCAGTGGCCAAATTACTGTATGTTAATGGCCCTTAATTGCACATGCTTCTGCCTTAGCTCAACTTTCATCTTGCCATGGAATGAGCTGTGTGAAGTTTACATACACCAAGTATACGGATGAGGAAAGACACTCATTGACCATTACTGACCCTCAGAGATTGCATTTTGTGTTGCCCAGAGAGGCCTCTGCAGCCCCCTGGTTTCAAACAGTGGTTGCAAAGCAAAAATCCCTGTGTCAAGTGGTTGTGTTACACAGAAGTGAAGAGCTGAGATCATGAGGAATGTTAAGGCAGGCTATGGTTAAGAAAATGGCAATAATTAGGGATTTCATTTACGCTCTGGCTTTGCTTTTAGATAAAGTGCCTTTCTCTGTTTCCCCTTTACTTAAATGTGTATATATATAAGCATCTAATGACGGTTAAAGTAGAGGAAACACCAGGGCCTGAGTTTCAGAAACACAGAAGTGTGTGCACTTTGCTTAACGTGCATTATGAATATTCCTTGCACAAGTCAGTTTGTACTCCTTTAAGTAGGCAGCCATGCATTTTGTCACTTCGTACAACCACAGGATCTTCAAGCATTGGCATTGCAATTTTTAATTGTAATTTGAAATGTAGTCCCTTGAGTGACTGAGTTTATAAGGATAAAAAAAGAAAATTGAGCTCTATTATATTTTATACTTCACTAATTTATATAATCTTGTAATATGAGATGTGATGCAGAGAATCATAACTTGTGTTATTCTGTAGTTTAGAAGTGGCAGGATGGAAGCTGCAAGAGACTTTTCTCCCGAGTGTTTTCCAATGCCTACATCCAGGCTCCAGCCTTTATCTCTCCTGTTCTATGAGGGATGGCTGCAGGCTTACTCAGTAACAGTATCCCTCTGGGGAATCCCACTGGAATGCCACTGCTGGTCAGTTGTTTCCCTGAGTACAAAAATCCTGCTGGTATCTCCTGGCCTAGAGCTGCTGTCACTAGAAGTGAGAAGGAGCCTGGCTGGACAACCACCATGGTGTTTGGGATTCTTCTAAAAACATGGATCCATTTCACTGTGTGAAATGTATTTGCATTGCCCAGCAATTATTTTTGATTTCCATCACTGGGCTTGACAAAAAGACTTAAAACATGACTCAGGAGTTCTGAAAACTACAACTCAGCCATATGCTGGTAACTAGAAACTTTCTCCATGTGTTGGAATGAACTGGAGTACAAGCACTCCACACATGGCTGTAGAAGACTGCTAAAACAGTAGGAATGTCCAAGGTATGGAACAGTCAAGAAACCTGGGCTCAACACCCAGTTTAAGTATTAACCAGTCTGTGGATCATGATTTTAAGGGGTGAGATACAAGGAGAAAAAGGCAAGTTTTCTCTCTCTCCATAAACACCCTTGTTCATGCAGCTCTGAACAGACCTGCAGCAGTGCTTGTCACCACCTGTGCTGTGCTGGGGAGAACTGACAGGTTTCCTTTCACACAGGAGTGCCTGGTGTCTCTGGTTGGGAGCAGGTGCCCACAGGACCAAGGCCCTGCACTTAATGCTGGTCCTGTGCCAAAGAGCTAATAGGCTAAACAAATCCAATGAACAAGGGTGGGAGGAAGCAAGTGTGTTCATTTCTGGTTTGCCCCTAAAAATGGAGAGCTGGAAAGTTTGCTCAGAACATCGCTGAGGTCACTGCACTGCCTTGGATTCCAGTGTGAGCTGAGAGCTCCCTGCTGCAGTTTGATTTAGGTTCTATCCTGATTACCTTAACCTTCTGCACTTCTGGCTCATATTACAGCATATCCAAAAGGCCCACAAAAATAAGCTGGCCCCAAGCACTCACTCAGGACAAATTGTGGAAAAGGGTAAATGTTATTGATACAAAACTTCTTTACCCCAAATGTAATGTTACCCTGTTACCGTTAAGGTCACAGGATCGTGTCACTTCATCTAGCATTGTTAATTCAGAGAAACAATCCATCGTGGGAGTGATGTAGTTGCAATGTATTGCAGTAGTGTTCATGTCTTTGTAATTCTGTTGATGTCTGACCTGTTCTCCTAGGACTTACCAATGTCTTCTCCTGGGTTAGACAGACCTCCTGGAAACTTCCATGAATTTGTAGTCTGTATTGGAGGAAAGAAACCATTTATGAAGTATAGCCTGTGTTGTACTCTCTAATATGAAGGAGACAATTAACACATGACTTTTGTTTCAGTATTGTTACTCCTCTTGCAAACATCAGTAAGTAGGAACTTCCTTGTTCCTGCTAGGGTGATGATCCGAGATAGCTACAGTCTGTATAACTATTGGAACAAAGCATCTACTGATTGAAAACACAAACTGTCTAACAGTCATTAGACAACATTGCTGCTACATAGAGTAGTTGAATATTACAAAAAAAAGCTGCTATAGACTATATAATCTTATATTTAATCACTAATGTATTCCACTTCCATGGTTTTGGCTTTTAAAAAAATGTATATATATTTTTAATCTTCCAAACAGGTATTATGATTGTAGTACTGTTCTATACTGCACTGGCTTTAAGATGACTCTGTGTGTCTGTAACAATCATTTAGTGTAACTTGTCATTTTTATGGAATACTGAAACTGAGGGCTTGTGTGTGATTTGTAGCTGGAAACAGTTATGGAATTGCAATAAAGTTCAGTACCAGAACATGAAGTGCAGACTTGGTGTTGTTACTCACACTGCTAAAGGAGTCCCACTCCTTACACCTCTCCAAATGCATAGATTTGTAGGCTTTACCTTGACTTCCATGTGCTTTTCTTTCCTTCCTTATTAAAAGTTTATGTAGGAAGAAGTTACCCTTCACCTACAAATTAACCCACTAAAAAAAGTACACTGGCTAAAAAAAGCTTATGTTTTGTCCATGTAGCATAGAGAGGGAAGCTGAGTGATTTCCAGGGACTGGAAACCCCAGTGACTACTTTGGAAAATGTTTTTTTCTTTCTTGGGCATTCTTAAAGGGTTAGGATAGGAATTTAAAGTAAGAGATTAAAAATAGTGCAGATGGAAAATACGTACATTTGTCTGCTGGCTTTTGGATTTGCTTTCAGTTCCTGGAAATCTTTGTGTGCTGTGGAATTGTCTTTTCACGATTAAAACCAAACAGCTCTTAAAATTCTACCAGCTCTTTAAATTGTTTTTTAAGCTTTCAGAACAGCCTTTGTTTTAGAAGACCATTTGGGGAAACTGTTAATTTTATGGGCAAGGAGAAGGGAGAGGAGTGGTGGAACCAAGAGTGGGAAACAATTGTCTGAACCAATTTGCTTGCACTGAGGTATTTGCTCACTGCACAAAAAATCAATGTATGGATATTCTTACACTTCAGTATTTGTACTTAATTTTATGCAGCCAGTAAAAAGCATACAGAGGAGAGACAAAACAATCACTTTTGCCGTTTTGCTGACAGCTTTGTTCCAGAAAGGTGAGCTGAAATAGCTGACCTGGAATATACCCATCCCACTTTTCAGCATGAGCTGGAGGGAAGAGCAGGGCCAGACTGGTCCTCTTGTGGTTTTGGGCTAGAGGCTAAGGAGGTGATGCCTGGGGAGTATGGACTTGAACCTAGTACCCAAACGGAGCATGTCGTGTCTCACTGTAGAACTGGGTAGAGGTATCTGCACTTAAAATGGCTGTGAGGGAGCTGTAACCCAACCACACATGAAGCAGTTAAACCTTACACGTCCTGGGCTTAGGAAACTACTGTTTCCTTCTAAAGATACAGAATGTGCTGTTTTTGGCTTTGCTCTCCGAGACCTGTTTAAGATATCTGCTGAAAGGCAAGCACGCAGTTCTGTATTTCTGTGTGCATAAAAGGATAAATAAATGTTGTGTTTCTGAAGTTTACAACGTGCTGATCTATTCCTAGAGACTCGGGAATGGGAACCACTTTTGGAGCCTCCAGCAGGCAAGGTAGGTTTGTGCTTTCACTGGTAACTGCTGGATGTGAACCTGAGGGTCCTGCTGTAGAAAAGTCCTTGGCATCTTACTTTATTGTAAAGAAAAATATAAAAATCTACTACTCTAATTACAGGAAATTAGTTCAGAGGCAGAGAAACATCCCTGTTTTGTGTTAGGACTCCAGCATGTCTGATTGAGTGTGCCTATGAAAGCACCCGCTCACCGAACTCATTAATGTGTTGTAGTTACTAACGTTTTGGGTCCTGAGAAGGAATCTCTTAGTAGCTATTTCAGGGAAGACAGAAAAGTGCATCCAGTGAGATTCTGGCATCGTTTTAACTACATAAAATGAAAATGATGCATCCAAATGTACCCTTGATTTTCAAAGTGGGTTTTTTTCCCTTTAAAATGGAGTACAGCAATCTGTTGATAAATGTGTTCCAAGGACGTGACTTTCAACTACCACAATTTTGGACTGGAACAAAAATAAATATTTTGTTTTACACTACAGAATAGGCCTATCTAAATGAGCTTCTTTATTTTATAATCCTGTAACAAACTTACCTTATGTCTGTCTTGTACAACCAACACCTTTCCAGTGCTTTCATCTAGAACAGCACCTGGTAGACAGAGAATATTGACAAAGATGAAGTCTTGGACAACTATGTTCAACCTTAACCAAAATTTAACATATTTTGATTAAGCATGAGAAGCCCCTAATGATACTATTTACAGTTAGCAATGTTTGTATGGATGAATCACAAAGTGGTTTATTGGTGGAAAACTGAGACAATCAAATATCAGAAAAGGTTACGTATCCTATATAAAAATCCAAAGTTAGCAGTATCAAGATAAATACTTGCAGCATTTAAGTTCCAAATTAGATAAGAAAAATTAGCCTGTGCTAATATCTGAACTAAAGAATGCAAGATCAGGAGGTCACCCAAACAATCCAGCAAAGCTGCTCCAGCACAGATGTGCTGTAATCTTGCTCAAATAACAGAAAATTTTCCAGTGCCTCTGGCCGAGAAGCCACTCCTCAGGGTAAGAATTTTTCTCCAGTGAAATCCATGACAAAACTCCTGCCTGCTGTAATGAAGGTTTGAGTGTTTTCTGGTTAGTTAGGTTCAGTACCCAGTGGGCTGACTGTACTGATGATGTACAACTGGGTGACCATCTGTGAACTTGTACTGTACTGCCCAGCTAACAGCTGATGACAGGACCTGTGCAGTAATCTGAGTCAAATCTGTTAATCAATAGATGTTGCTTCCAAGTGGAAAAGTAACACTTGATTAAAAATAAATCAGGATGTCTGACTGAAAAGTGCAGCTTTTCCTTATGTCCTCATGCTCAGCCCATGACTTTCTCCCACATATTACAAGTTTTCCTACTTTCTAAACCCGAAGTGCTTTCATGTTTGATCATCATGTCACACTCCCTGGTCATGCTTTAAAAACAGGTATTTTTCCCAGATTTTAAAGCACACTGTGGTGAGCAGAATGAGCACTGTGGTGCAGCTTCCCAAGCTTCTTCCCACATCATTCATGCCTGGGTTTCGAATTAGTAGTTAAGAATAAAAAAACCGCTTGTCATTTTACAGCAGGAGGAAGTGTATAGAGAGATCTGTGGTGATATATGCATTTAAAATGCCATGGGGCAGTATTTCCACAGAAGGGAATTATTAAAGAGTGAGTGTCCAGCTCAAAACATCCTGTTTTTTAAAAATACATGGCAGACTTATGTGTAGGAGGAATATTTAAAAGATGAAATACCAATCTTCCTTCAAGATCTGTCAAAGGACGTGCCTTAAGAGGGTAGTCACATATCTGCCTCCCCATGGCTAGTGACTTTATGATTTCATTCCTCCTGTAAATATTTAGCAGTGGTCCAGGTTCAAGTACTGTACTGATTAAAAGGGAAGCAGGAAAAAAACTTTAGTGCATGCTGTGATCACAGGGACTGTTCTCTAGAAAAGCCATTCTTCAGGCAAGTGGTTTGCTGAGGCCAGGGAGGATTGCTGAAGGCAGGAAACTGCACTTTGAACCAAACAGACAGAATGTTTTTTCTCCTCTATTCCACTGAAACTGATGCCTGTGAATGTAATTTTTGGCAGTGAAATTCTCAGTGAGATGATCAGAATCTCTGCTAGAGATACCTAAATCCAAAGCAAAAAGGAAGTAAAAACAGTAACAGGATTTGCTGTCTGGTCTCATGTTCCCGAAGTGTAGCTCGGAAGGCCCTCGTGGGGCTGCACCTGGTGGCTATCAGTGAGATCACTTTGACTGCAGGCTCTGCCCTGTGGTTTCAAACACTCTCCCTCTTGCTACAATGTGGTACCTGGGGTTTTATATCATCCAGCCCCAGGGTGACTTTCTGGAAAGGTTTATACCTGTAACCCAACCAAGTAGTCACTATTACAACACTGCTTTGTTTTGAATGTTCTCTTTTGGGAAACAGGTAAGAAAAGCATGCAAAAAAATCCCTTAGACAACTCCAGACAATGAGTAATGGAGGGGAAAAGTATCTTCATTCTACCTGTTTTATTTATGACTGGTGTAAACCTGTGTGCAATGATGGTCAGTGCTGAAAAGCACTTGTCAACCACGGAATGAGTGCACACACCACTGCTTGCACTGTAAACAGCAGCAGCCAGGAGTAGGTACTACTTGGTAGAACAGCTTGGGAATGACTTTTAAATCACTTTTGATTCCTTGGGCCATCATAACCTATGCAACTCCATCCTTCTGTGCAGTTCCACATTAATGCAGCTGCTCAATTTGCGCATTTCCATAACTAACTGGCTAAGACATGGTCCTGTGTGTGTCAACCCTCCCTCTCTTCAACTCCAAGGATTTTGTTTCAACAACTACCTTAAGGTAGGTAGCAATGGAAATAACAGCTGTGTTGTAAGGCTTGTACAAGTGAGGGAGATGGGAATGACTCTTACTTTTCTCCCTCTCCTTTCACTTTCCTTCCTCAGTTTGTCATCCAATGCCACTGTTAGTGGCATATTTACAAACATGTCACTTTCTGGGTGGCAGACACTTCCTCCTGGGAGGTGGAGAATGTTGGAGATACTTTTCAAAAACATGTTAATCACTTCCTACACCAGAGCCTGTTCTGTATCTTCACACATGTGGAAAATCCTGCCGCCTACAAACGGATGCAGTAAGTTAGCTGGAAGACACATCACATATTCCACTATTTCCAAACAATAATGGCCAAGCCCAATGAGTAACATTTGCTACTCTCGGCTTGGCGACTCTCATGTAGTCTGGTAAAATATGACCTGACCTTGCTTATTCACACCTTTGTCATCCCTTGGCTGGATGATGCCGAGGCACTAGCCCTGGCTGTGCAGCATTCACTGCGTGGGAAATTCCAGACAGGAGGAAAACCAGCTGCTGGTCTACTTGGCAATGGGACTTGCTACCTGTTCCCTGCTCCCTGTGCTGCTACCTGCCGGGCAGCCAACCACGCTCAGTGTCTCAGGATGCTCAAGGGACTGAGTTCTGTAAATAAAATGCCTGGGGTTTGACACACACACACACACACACACACACACACACACACACACACACACACACACACACACACACACACACACACACACACACACACACACACACACACACACACACACACACACACACACACACACACACACACACACACACACACACACACACACACACACACACACTACAAATGCACATGTTTAAATAGTTTAGTATTTCAATGGAATGAATTCAAAATAGAACAATGCCCTTCCACTCCCCAGGCTCTCCCTCCTCGAGGAGAAAGAGAATGGAATAAACATATACCAGGTGATACCCACACTGCTTAGTGTATTCTTGGGATGTGTTCCGCATCCACTGACAGCAAGTGGGTCAGAGGGAAAAAAGAAACACATTTCAGTCATTATTTCACAGAGAAACCTACTTGTTTACCTGCCCAAAAAAACCTTCCTTAAGTCTTCACCTCTGTCAAAGAAACTCCCAATAATGAATGAAAACGTACAGGTTTGAAAGTGGAAGAAAAGAACAGACATTCTATGTTGTGCAGTTCTTAAACCCGTGCAGTAAATGACGAAATCCACCTACTTGCACTTATGTTCTGAAGTGCATTTTTTTATGTTTATTCGAGTCTTTCAGAGTTATGATTTTTCCTATATGAAGTCCTCTCTGATACCCCTTGGGGTCACAACACTCCTCCTTTCAAACAGCACTTTCAGCTGTGCAAGTGCCACTTCAGGTAAAACCTCTTTCAGTCAGTGACATGTCCTCACACACACAAGTGACAACCACAAGGAGCACCGCGGTGCCTTTGCTAGGAGCATGCACTATCCTACCACAGCTTAATGCCATGTATTTTAATGGTGAGGTTTCCATACCTCAGGAAAACATGCTCCAACATGTTCATTGACAAAAAATCGGAGGTCTTCAGCTTCCACCCTGCCCTCTGCTGGCTTGGAAGTGAAGATTCTCACTCCCGACGGCAGCAGCACCGTTTTGTAATTCCAAGGGTTTTGTCCAAGATTTACTTTCACCTGAGCTGCTGCCACATGGAATAATCCATCTTTTATGAGTCCTTCCTAACTAGACTTTTAACACTGCTATTTGCGGGTCTTACCACCACTTGGTGAAGAAATAACATCCCCCACAGTCCCTGCAGGCCAAGGACAAACAAGTCATGGTTGTAATTGGAGAGATTTGCTCTCCCTTTCCCATAATTTCTGGGTGTTAATGTAACCTTCACCAGTACACGAAGGGTCCAAACCAACCTCCAAATTACTGATTACTGAGTGATGGGACAGGGAATGGTGTATCTGTGGAGCTCTGCTGAGGGAGAGGGCAGTAACACTGGAATTTGGGTGAAGATGAGTTCAAGCTGAGAGTATTTTGGGCTCATCATCAGTCCCTTGTACTGTGCTAGAGGAAAAAGAAAAACAGAAGAAAGGAGAAATTGTCTTATCTAGTTCATTGGGAGTTTTCCCAGTTTTTGGAACAACTCCTTTCCAACTGTGGTTGTGGGAGGTCTAGATAGGCAAGGGTATTGTGCCCAGATATTTATAAAATGTATTGAAGACTTGTAGGCACAGCTTAGAGCAGCTTTTAGACCACTGTAATTTAGGCTAATAATTGCTTCAGCTTCCAAACAATCCCTGTTGGGCTAAGTTTTCCACATTTACAGACCTTAATTTGAGCACAATTTAGGCAGATACATATATTAAGCATCTACAAGACACAGAGCAGAGAAATGCCTTTTTTCCCCCCTAACAAGTTTGTGGTAACTTTTTCACTTGGGAAAGCTACTTGAATCTTGAAATTTCAACCCTCTAACTCTCTCTCACCTGCAAGGTGAAAGACAAGAGAGGTTTCTTAAAGTGGTGTTTAAAAACATTATTCATGAGGTAAAATTTTAGAGCTTCAGGACATTTTCTTCTCCCCGAGTTGTTCACAATTTTCTCAAACTGGAACAATTTGGAGAAGCTTCTCTCTGCTGGTGTTTGTAGCCACACACACTTGTACAGGTGCATTCATGAATGACACACCTCACTTTGCAAATCACCCTAACGGTAGGCAGCTGTTTTCCACGTGCTGGTCGTGCAGAGGAACAGATGATTTCCCACTGAACCTGCTCCTAAGGGCTTGTTCAAGTCTTTTTGTGTGTGCAACCACTCCTGCAACTCACCTGCAACCCCGAGCTGGTGGGTGGCAAACCCTGGCAGCCTGCTGGGCCCTTCTCCCAGCCACAGCGTCAGGGTGGACGAGCCCTGCTCGGCGTGGTGGAAGGCAAAGCCTTGGGAAGCAGCCACATCCACAAATCTGCTCTGGAGGATGGGAACATGAAGCCAGACAGCAACACAACCTTCCTGCCGCCACTGAGCCACGGACTCTGCAAGATAACCATGTTTGGAGGGTCAGGGTTGTGGGCACTGCTCAGAGACACCCCTTGCCCTTGATCTCTGTGGGTTTATATAGTGCACAACAGGTGGGGTTAATGCACAAAGACATGCATTTTCACCTCACTCACCACAGGGTCAAACTGCCAACTGTGTGTTAGAAATGCCAAAAGTGACATTGTATGTGGTACATTGAGCTGCCAGCTTGATGTTTCACATGGCACAACTTGGGCATTCACACACTAAATAATCATAAAACCATAGAATTTTAGGGGCTGGAATGGAGCTTAGAGATCATCTAGTCCTACCCCCTGTCCTGGGCAGGGACACCTCCCACCAGACCAGGTTGCTCAAGGTTTCATCCAGCCTGGGTGGTTTTTAGGTTAGGATCTGCCATGGGGCACAAGGGAATGGCCTCTGCATTGCCCTTGGGTGTTCTCACACAGCCTTTAGGTTAGGATCTGTGAACACCTGAGTCTATTAACTTATCACCCAAGTACACTGGGTGTTCTCACACAAAATAAAGGCTTTTAGGTTAGGATCTGTGAACAGCTGAGTACATTATTCTGTCCCCCAAGTACACTGGGTGTTCTCACACAAAACAAAGGCTTTTAGGTTAGGATCTGCCAAGAGGTACAGGGGAATGACCTCTGCCAGTACCCTCAGCTGTGTCCTTGGGTTCACACACAAAATAAAGACATTTAGGTTAGGATCTGTGAACACCTGAGTACATTATTTCGTCACCCAAGTACACTGGGTGTTCTCACACAAAATAAAGGCTTTTAGGTTAGGACCTGCCATGGGGCACAAGGGAATGAGCTCTGCAATGCCCTTGGGTGTTCTCACACAGCCTTTAGGTTAGGATCTGTGAACACCTGAGTCTATTAACTTATCACCCAAGTACACTGAGTGTTCTCACACAGAATAAAGGCCTTTAGGTAAAGATCTACGAACACCTGAGCACATTATTTCATCCCCAAGTACACTGGGTGTTCTCACGCAAAATAAATGCCTTTAGGCCAGGATCTGCCATGAGGCACCGGGGAGTGCCCTCTGCCAGTACCCTCCGCCGTGCCCTTGGGTTCACACAGAATAAAGGCTTTTAGGTTCGGACGAGCCCAGGCCCACACGGAACGCCCCCGCCCGCGCGGCCCGTGCCCCTG